TGGTTAATAAAATAAGAACATAGGTCGATTCTGATAGAACGTTCTCCTCTGAGAGACGTCACTGCGTACAGTCTGGTTAATAAAATAAGAACATGGGTCGACTCTGGTAGAACGTTCTCCTCTGAGAGACGTTACTGCGTACAGGCTGGTTAATAAAATAAGAACATAGGTCGATTCTGATAGAACGTTCTCCTCTGAGAGACGTCACTGCGTACAGTCTGGTTAATAAAATAAGAACATGGGTCGACTCTGGTAGAACGTTCTCCTCTGAGAGACGTTACTGCGTACAGGCTGGTTAATAAAATAAGAACATAGGTCGATTCTGATAGAACGTTCTCCTCTGAGAGACGTCACTGCGTACAGTCTGGTTAATAAAATAAGAACATGGGTCGACTCTGGTAGAACGTTCTCCTCTGAGAGACGTTACTGCGTACAGGCTGGTTAATAAAATAAGAACATAGGTCGATTCTGATAGAACGTTCTCCTCTGAGAGACGTCACTGCGTACAGTCTGGTTAATAAAATAAGAACATGGGTCGACTCTGGTAGAACGTTCTCCTCTGAGAGACGTTACTGCGTACAGGCTGGTTAATAAAATAAGAACATAGGTCGATTCTGATAGAACGTTCTCCTCTGAGAGACGTCACTGCGTACAGTCTGGTTAATAAAATAAGAACATGGGTCGACTCTGGTAGAACGTTCTCCTCTGAGAGACGTTACTGCGTACAGGCTGGTTAATAAAATAAGAACATAGGTCGATTCTGATAGAACGTTCTCCTCTGAGAGACGTCACTGCGTACAGTCTGGTTAATAAAATAAGAACATGGGTCGACTCTGGTAGAACGTTCTCCTCTGAGAGACGTTACTGCGTACAGGCTGGTTAATAAAATAAGAACATAGGTCGATTCTGATAGAACGTTCTCCTCTGAGAGACGTCACTGCGTACAGTCTGGTTAATAAAATAAGAACATGGGTCGACTCTGGTAGAACGTTCTCCTCTGAGAGACGTTACTGCGTACAGGCTGGTTAATAAAATAAGAACATAGGTCGATTCTGATAGAACGTTCTCCTCTGAGAGACGTCACTGCGTACAGTCTGGTTAATAAAATAAGAACATGGGTCGACTCTGGTAGAACGTTCTCCTCTGAGAGACGTTACTGCGTACAGGCTGGTTAATAAAATAAGAACATAGGTCGATTCTGATAGAACGTTCTCCTCTGAGAGACGTCACTGCGTACAGTCTGGTTAATAAAATAAGAACATGGGTCGACTCTGGTAGAACGTTCTCCTCTGAGAGACGTTACTGCGTACAGGCTGGTTAATAAAATAAGAACATAGGTCGATTCTGATAGAACGTTCTCCTCTGAGAGACGTCACTGCGTACAGTCTGGTTAATAAAATAAGAACATGGGTCGACTCTGGTAGAACGTTCTCCTCTGAGAGACGTTACTGCGTACAGGCTGGTTAATAAAATAAGAACATAGGTCGATTCTGATAGAACGTTCTCCTCTGAGAGACGTCACTGCGTACAGTCTGGTTAATAAAATAAGAACATGGGTCGACTCTGGTAGAACGTTCTCCTCTGAGAGACGTTACTGCGTACAGGCTGGTTAATAAAATAAGAACATAGGTCGATTCTGATAGAACGTTCTCCTCTGAGAGACGTCACTGCGTACAGTCTGGTTAATAAAATAAGAACATGGGTCGACTCTGGTAGAACGTTCTCCTCTGAGAGACGTTACTGCGTACAGGCTGGTTAATAAAATAAGAACATAGGTCGATTCTGATAGAACGTTCTCCTCTGAGAGACGTCACTGCGTACAGTCTGGTTAATAAAATAAGAACATGGGTCGACTCTGGTAGAACGTTCTCCTCTGAGAGACGTTACTGCGTACAGGCTGGTTAATAAAATAAGAACATAGGTCGATTCTGATAGAACGTTCTCCTCTGAGAGACGTCACTGCGTACAGTCTGGTTAATAAAATAAGAACATGGGTCGACTCTGGTAGAACGTTCTCCTCTGAGAGACGTTACTGCGTACAGGCTGGTTAATAAAATAAGAACATAGGTCGATTCTGATAGAACGTTCTCCTCTGAGAGACGTCACTGCGTACAGTCTGGTTAATAAAATAAGAACATGGGTCGACTCTGGTAGAACGTTCTCCTCTGAGAGACGTTACTGCGTACAGGCTGGTTAATAAAATAAGAACATAGGTCGATTCTGATAGAACGTTCTCCTCTGAGAGACGTCACTGCGTACAGTCTGGTTAATAAAATAAGAACATGGGTCGACTCTGGTAGAACGTTCTCCTCTGAGAGACGTTACTGCGTACAGGCTGGTTAATAAAATAAGAACATAGGTCGATTCTGATAGAACGTTCTCCTCTGAGAGACGTCACTGCGTACAGTCTGGTTAATAAAATAAGAACATGGGTCGACTCTGGTAGAACGTTCTCCTCTGAGAGACGTTACTGCGTACAGGCTGGTTAATAAAATAAGAACATAGGTCGATTCTGATAGAACGTTCTCCTCTGAGAGACGTCACTGCGTACAGTCTGGTTAATAAAATAAGAACATGGGTCGACTCTGATAGAACGTTCTCCTCTGAGAGACGTCACTGCGCACAGTCTGTTTAATAACATAAGAACGTGGTTTGACTGATAGAACATTCTCCTCTGAGAGACGTCACTGCGTACAGGCTGGTTAATAAGATAAGAGTCTGAGTGATGCTGAAAATCAGCAGTCACATGATCAACACTGATGGATCTATGATGTCTTTAGAACCACCCACACACTAAAAAAAAAGGAGGAGGATCCATTTCATGATAAATCTGAATTAAAGTGCTCTCATGTTAGAGAATGGCTGTTACCGCCCACCTTCAGCCTCACTTGCTGACTCATTACTGGACAAACTCTGAGCTGGTTTACTCGGAGACCTCAACTGGGAGTGGTCATCATCATCATCCTCATCCTCAGTAAAGGACACATGTGACTCTAATGACTGAGTGAATCTGGACATGGGACTAGACACGACTCGATCTGATTTTAACAAACACAGGTTGTCTGTGAGCGACTGAAACATCTCTGACAGTAAACCAGGTTATAAGATTTTTATTGAACAAACCTTCGTCCTGATGTTTTGTGTGTTTAACAGTGACCTTGGTGTTTCACACACGGCTGACCTTGATCTGGTCTGGGACTATTTTAAATCCACTTCCTTGGCTACACGTGATAAACATGAAGATTCAGGAGCAGTGGTTGAGACCCCCACTGATTTTAATTCTGCTGCCTCAGTCTGCTGATACAGGGACACATCTTACAACAAGAAATTCTGTCCCACGTTCTCCTTTTCTTCTGTTCTCCGGTCCCACGTTCTTCTTTTCTCCTGTCCCATGTTCTTATGTTCTACTGTCCCACGTTCTCCTTTTCTCCTGTCCCACGTTCTCCTGTTCTTCTGTTCTCCTGTCCCTCGTTCTCCTTTTCTCCTGTCCCACGTTCTCCTTTTCTCCTGTCCCATGTTCTTATGTTCTACTGTCCCACGTTCTCCTTTTCTCCTGTCCCACGTTCTCCTGTTCTTCTGTTCTCCTGTCCCTCGTTCTCCTTTTCTCCTGTCCCACATTCTCCTTTTCTCCTGTCCCATGGTCTTCTGTCCCACATTCTCCTTTTCTCCTGTCCCATGGTCTTCTGTTCTCCTGTCTCATGTTCTACTGGTCTCCTGTCCCACGTTCTCCTGTTCTGTCCCACGTTCTCCTCTCCCATGTTCTCCTGTTCTTCTGGTCTCCTGTCCCATGTTTTTCTGTTCTCCTGTCCCACGTTCTCCTGTCCCATGTTCTCCTGTTCTACTTTTCTCCTGTCCCATGTTCTCCTGTTCTCCTGTCCCATGTTCTCCTGTTCTTCTGTTCTCCTGTCCCATGTTTTCCTGTTCTCCTATCCCATGCTCTCCTTTTCTCCTGTCTCAGCTCCACCACTTCATAAAGTTCTGATGAGCCTTCTCTGGTCCAGATAAGAACAAGTCTTTTTAAAACCTGCTGCAGGTTTTACTGCAGCACCATTTGCAGGTGCAGTGTGCACCGTGTGTGAACGTCTCTGTTTCTGTGACCTCAGTGTGAAC